TTGTTTTTGCTTTGGCTCCATCCCTTCATTCTTTCTGGAGTTATTTCTCCACTGATCTCCAGTAGCATATTGGGCACCTACCGACCTGGGGTGTTCCTCTTTCAGTATCCTATCATTTTGCCTTCTCATACTGTTCATGGGGTTCTCAAGGCAAGAATACTGAAGTGGTTTGCCATTCCCTTCTCCAGTGGACCACATTCTGTCAGACCTCTCCACCATGACCCGTCTGCCTTGCGTGGCCCCACACGGCATGGCTTAGTTTCACTGAGTTAAACAAGGCTGTGGTCCTGTGATCAGATTGGCTGGTTTCCTGTGATTATGGGTTTAGTGTGTCTGCCCTCTGATGCCCTCTCACAGCACCTACCCTCTTACTTGAGTTTCTCTTACCTTGGACGTGGGGTATCTCCTCACGGCCGCCCCTCCTGACCGTGACTGTGGAGTAGCTCCTCTCGGTCCATAGAATTGTTGCTGCTGTTCAGTTGCTAAGTCGCGTATGGCTCTTTGTGACCTCATGGACTGTAGCACAGCAGGCTCCTTGTCCTCCACTGTTTCCTGGACTTTGCTCAAATTCATGTCCATTGAGTTGGAGATGCTCTCTAATCATCAATAGAATAACAATGCCAAAATGACACAGGTATTAGGATTATCTGATAGAAACTTTAAAACAGCTGTTATTAAAATGACCCAAGAAGAGTCTACACTTTTGAAAAGAACGGAATGATAGAATGCTTCACAAAATAAATGCAAGATATACAAAAATGAGAATTTTAGAATAACCTAAATTTAAAAAACACACACCTCATTGAATGTACTTTATAGCAGAGTAGAGATTAAAAGAGGAGTATCACTAGATGGACCTGATTGATGAAAATTACCCAACCTCAACAACGATAGGAAAAGAGTGAAAAAAATTGAACAGACCCTCAGGGACCTTGGTTCAATAGCAAAGGTTTAATATTTGTGTTACAGGAGTCCCAGAGGAGAGGAAAAACAGTGTGGTAAACACACACACACACACACACACACACACAATTGAAGAAATAATAGCTGAAAACTTCCCAAATTTGAGAAAAGATATAAATTTACAGATTCATGAATTCCAAACAGAATAAGCCAAATGAAATACCCTCTGATAGATTATCATCAAACTATTTAAACAGATTAAAAAAAAAATCTTAAAAGCACCTGGAGGAAAACAGCTCATTACTTGGAAGGGATGACAATTTGAATGGCCATGGTTTTCTTCTCAGAAATCATGGAGGCCAGAGGAGGTAGAATGACGCTTTTAAACGGTTGGAAGAAAAGAACTGTCACCTCACAATTTTACAACCAATGAAAATATAGATATATTCAATCAGTGAATAAAGGTAAAGATACTCCAGCTGTCCCAATTTGGTTCCCCAAGGCTGAGGGGTTCCCCTGGATACAGGACTTTTAATGCTAAAACTAGGCAAACAAGGTCAGTTGCTCTCAGGTGAAAGAAAACTAAGAGAATGTGTTACCATTAGTCCTGCTCTAAAGAATTGCTAAAGTGCTTTAGACGGAGGGAAATGATAACAGGTGGGGACTTGAAGCATCAGAAATGAAGAAAAATGGAAATGACAAATATCTTGATAAATAAAATGGTGATTTCTTCTCCCTTTGAGTTTTTAAAATGTGCTTGATGGTTGAAAGCAAAAGTATAACATGGTCTGACGAGGGTTTCAATGTGTATACACATGCTATTAGCATCACACTTAATTGTGAAAGACTGCAGGCTTTCCCCCTTCAGTGGAATAAGACTGGAATAACGAATGGAGATCTAGTCTTAGCACTCCTGTTCAGCATTTTTGTGGAAGTTCTAGCAAGTATAACAATCAGAGGAGCAATCAGAGGAAATAAAATTCATACGGATTATAAAGGAAGAAATAAAACTCACTCCAGTCCTCAGAGGACATGACTGGATTTGTAGAAAATTTCAGTTTACAAACAATAGCAACAACACTATAAACTCTTAGTACTAGTATGTTAATTTAGGAAAATTACAGGATTCAAATTACAGGTAAAAATCCATTGTATTTATACATACTAGCAATGAAGACCTGAAACCAAAATTTGAAAAACAAGCCAAAAAATAATACCATCTACAATAGCCCCACAGGTGAAATTCTTAGATATAGGCCTTGAAGTCATATCTAGGATCTATGTACTGAAAACTACAAAATGCTGACAAAAAGAAATAAAAGAAGACCTAAATCAATGGGGAGACATCTCTTGATCGTGGATTGGGTGACTCAACTTAGTAAAATGTCAGTTCTCCCCAAATTAATCTATAGGTTCAATGTGCTTCCTAATCAACATCCCAGTGTTTTGTTTCTTTTTTATAGACAAACTTATTCTAAAAATCTATGGAAAGGCAAAGGAGCTGAAATAATAAAAACAAATTTGTAAAAGAAAAATGAAGTTGGAGAAATCACGCTACCCAATTTTAAGACTTACTATAAATCTATAGCAATTGAGGAATGAGGTATTATTTAAGGGAAAACCACATAGACCAAATGGAAAAAAATAGAGAGTTCAGAAATAGACCCACACAAATATGGTAAATTGATTTTTGAAAAAAATAAAGAACATAGTTCAATGGGGAAAGGATATTTATATAATAAATGGTGCCAGAAAATATTATATATGTGTGTATATATGTGTATATATATATATATATATATATATAACCTCAACCTAAATTTCACATCCTATTTCAAATCCTAAAAGGTGATGCTGTTAAAGTGCTGCTCTCAATATGCCAGCAAATCTGGAAAACTCAGCAGTAGCCACAGGACTGGAAAAGGTCAGTTTTCATTCCAATCCCAAAGAAAGGCAGTGCCACACGATTGCACTCATCTCACACACTAGTAAAGTAATGCTCAAAATTCTCCAAGCCAGGCTTAAACAGTAAGTGAACCGTGAACTTGCAGATGTTCAAGCTGGATTTAGAAAAGGCAGAGGAANAGACCACATATTAAAAAGCAAAGACATTACTTTGTCAGCAAAGGTCTGTCTAGTCAAAGCTATGGTTTTTCCAGTAGTCGTGTTTGGATGTGAGAGTTGAACTATAAAGAAAGCTGAGCGCCAGAGAATTGATGCTTTTGAACTGTGGTGTTGGAGAAGACTCTTGAGAGTCCCTTGAACAGCAAGGAAATCCAACCAGTCCATCCTAAAGGAAATCCTGAATATTCATTGGAAGGACTGATGCCGAGGCTGAACTCCAATACTTTGGACACCTGATGTGAAGAACTGACTCATTTGAAAAGACCTAGCTGTGGGAAAGATTGAAGGCAGGAGGAGAAGGGGACAATAGAGCACAAGATGATTGGATGGCATCACTGACTTGATGGACATGAGTTTGAGCAAGCTCCAAGAGCTGGTAATGGACAGGGAAGCCTGGCATGCTGACGTCCATGGGGTCGCAAAGAGTCAGACATGACTGAGTGACTGAACCGAACTGAATTGATATAAAAATTAACTCAAATTATAAATAGATCTAAAAGTAAAATGCAGAACAATGATACTTTTAAAAGAAAACATAGGAGAAAATATTTGTCACCTGGGGTTAGGAAAACAGTCCTTAGGTATAACCAATATGGTAATTAAGGGAAAAAAGTAATTCGACTTAACATTAAAGATGTTTGCCCCGTGAAATATACTGCTAGAAGGATGGAAAGATAAGCTGTGCTGTGTGTGTGCTCAGTGGCTTAGTCACGTCCGACTCCTTGTCACCATACGGACTGTAGCCCACCATGGGATTTTCCTGGTAAGAAATACTGGAGTGGATTGCCATTTCCTTCTCCAGGGGATCTTCCCAACCCAGTGATTTGACCCACATCTCCTGCATTGGCAGGTGGGTTTTTCACCATTGAGCCACCTGGAAAGCCCAAGAAGATGAACTATAGACTAGGAAAAATATTTGCAAATCACATGTCAACAAAGGACTTACATCTGGACTATATAAAGAACTCTCAAAATTCAATAGTAAGAAAGAAATAACCTGCTTCTCTTAAAAAGGGCAAAAGACTTGAATAAATATTTAACCAAAGGGAAGGCAAATTAGCACATGAAAAGACATTCAATCAATAGAAACAAATTGAATGAAAATTAAAACCATAATGAGATATCACTGCAATTTATTAGAGTGTACAAGAAAAGAAAAAAATAAAAAATAAAAACCACCTGACAATACCCCGTAGGGATGGCTATGGGAGGTTGTCATTGAGAAGATGTGGGTTGACCCATGAGCTGGACCCAGGGAGCTGAAGGCTCCTCCCCTGTCCTTGGAATGTATGTTCCGCCTATTGTCCCCCTAGTGGGTCTGTCCCAAGGACAGAGCCTTGAAAGAGTTAGTTGTGGTTGAGGTCATCTGGACACTATAGTGATGGGACCCCATTGAAGCCTCTGTATAAAATTTTAAGATTCTGACCAGTGGGCACAGAATCTAGCTACTCATTTTGTGTCCGTCCAAGAAAAGCTTTGGAAGTAAGTTCTCCTACCAATCTAGAGTGGTCTACCTCTTTCTTCCAACTCTCTTTGCCCCTCTGTGTACAGGAGCCAGCCTGAGATTTCATCTGCGAAAGTCCCATGATTGTAAACCAACTGTGGGGACAGTGTGGAGCAGTAGGAACTCTGATCCACTGTCGGTGGGATTTTAAAATGGTACAGCCTGTCTGGAAAACAATTTGATAGTTTCCTCACTGTTAAATACACACCTGTCCTGTGACACAGCAGTCCTGCTCCTGGGTGTTTATCCTAAAGAAATGAAAACTTGTGTTCACAGAATAATGTGTGCATGAATATTTGTAACCGCTCTACTCACAACTGCTAAAGTTGGGAAACAAACCAAATGTCCTTCGGTGGATGAATAGATGAGCAGAATGTGGTGCGTGCATCCGATGGAATACTCTCAGCAATTAAAAAGGAACGGACTCTTGGTACATACGACTCAGCTGGATCTCAATGCACTATACGGAATAAAAGAAGCCATTTGAAATATTCCATTCACATGAAAAGAAAACCACTGTAGTACATGACAAAGAACAGATCAGTTGTTGCCAGGTATTAGAGATGTGGGCAGGGGTGGCTACAAAGGCATGGGGGGGTTTAGGGGGAGGTGATGGGCCTCTTTTGATTGTGGTTGTATTTACATGAACCTATGAACATGTTACATAGAATTTATAGAACTACAGGTGTAAAATAAGAGGCAATTTTAGCTAAAGAGCTAAAAAATAGTAAGTACGGTCACTATTCTTGTTGTATTTATTTTTAATTACAAATATATTTCCAAAATATATTCTCACTGCAAAAACAATAGTTTGTTGTCTCCATCTGTGTCTCTGTGTCTGCTTTGCACATAAGTTCATCTGCACCATGAGGTGGGATGAACTGGAAGACTGGGATTCACA